CTTTTGTTTTGTATTCCTGAGGAAGTGGTGGATGTGGGAACAATTACAACTTCAAAACACATTAAGATAAGTACATGAATAGGAAATATTAGGAGGGTGTATGGGCCATCAGCAAACAAGTGGGACTAGTTTAGTTTGGGATTATGTTTTTGCTGGACTGTTTGGACCGAAGGGTCTGCTTCTGTGCTGTTTTATTCTATCTATCTATCTACATCTTGTCGGGGCCACACGTTAGTTTGAAAATAACACGTTTTTATAGTATGTAGCCACTAGATGTCAGATTTGTTACAAGAAAAAGGCTGCCAAATTCTGATCATATATTACACAGTTATCACATATTTTGTGCCCAAATTTTTCAGGCAATTGGGAATGAACCATGCTTGTCCATAGTTTTCCAATCAGACTTTGTAGTAGACTTTCTCTGTGTGGCAAAATTTCATTTCAGTATTCTTTACAGGGGGCCTGAGAAAATGTGAACAGAGCAAGTTAAAGTATGCGCCCAAGATCAAAAACGTTGTAGAGCTGTAACTGAGCAGCACAGAGTTTGAATACTTTCCCATTGAGTTCTATTAAATTGGATGTAGAAGTGTACCATAAACTAACCTGGTGACTTTTTACCTCTGCAGAACAAATGTTCATACTTTTCTTTACATTAAAGCTGTTTTTTTTGTCCTTTGGATTATGTTTAACAGTGAGTGTTTTATCTGTGGAGATACATCATTAGAAAATGAGAATAGGCATTTTTTATTGCTGGAAGAATTTGAGTTCAGAAGCAGGGTTGTCTTGCTGTAATTGTACAGAGTCTTGGTGCGACCACACCTGGAGTACTGTGTGCAGTTAGATTTCCTTATTTTAGGAAAGATGTTCTGGCAATACAGGGAGTGCAGCAAAGGTTTAGCAGACTGATTTCTGGGATAGTGGGAAAGAGGTCTGAGGAAAGGTTGAATTGGTTAGGATTCTATTCATCGGGGTTCAGAAGAATGAGAAGGGAGTCTCATAGAAACCTGCAAAATTCTAACAACACTAAACAGAGTAAATTGAGGAAGGATGCTCCCAATGGCGAGGGAGTCCAGAACCAGGGGTCAAAGGCTAAGGGTACAAGGTATGCCTTTTGGGACTGAGATGAGGAAAAAATTCTTTACCCAGAGAAGCTTGTGGATTTCACCTTCAAAAAAAGTAGTGGAGGCCAAAACATTGTATGATTTCAAGAATGTGTTGGATATAACACTTGGGACTAAGGGATTGAAGGATATGGGAGAAATGCAGGAACAGGCTATTGAATTGGATGATCGGCCATGATCATAATGAATGGTGGAACAGACTTGAATGGCCGAATGGCCAATTCCTGCTCCTATTTTCTATGTTTCAATGGAAGTGATCCCCACACTTTCCCCTTATAAAACCTTTGTTTTGACACCCAGGACAAAGCAGCCCAATTTATTGGCATCCCATCCGTAACCTTCAACATTTACTCCCTTCACTACTGAGGCACAGTGGCAGTCGTGTGTCCCATCTATCAGATTCACTGCAGTATCTTACCCAGATTCATTTGATAACACCTTCCCTATCCACAATCACTGCCAGTTGGATAAATACTTGAAGAGAATACATTATAGGGCTTTGGGAAAAGGTGAGGTGTTACTTGGGGCGCTCTACCAAAACACCAGCATAGATGTGGTGGGCCTAACAGCCTTTTTCTGTGCTATATCATTCTATAATAATAACAAATAGTACAGTGGAGCATTCAGCAGTACAGCAAAAGTCATCAGCAACAACCGATAGCAACCAGTCACCAACTTGTAAATGCTTTTACCTCAGATATAACCTGTTAGCTTTCATTTGTCTGACCATGATCTGTGAAATACTTTGACATAATCAGACTTGATGCAAAAAAAACTGAATAACTCATAAATATGTTCAATATTTCAATATTTTTGGTGACTTTGTTCCCAACTTCTTGAAATCAATACCCTTGAGATTTGCCTATGCCAATCAGCTCCACAATTCAACTATGCCACATACATTTATCTTTACAATTACTTCTTAATAATTCAACTTGTTACATCAATAATTATTTTAAAAATTCTAAAGTTCATCAACTAAATACATCCTTCACAGAATCATAGAATTATTGAATGATCCAACACAGATCAAGACTGTATTTGCTGGATCTTTCAAAGAGCAATCCAATTAGTCACATTCTGCCAGTCTTTCCCCATGTCTTTTCAATTCTTTTCCTCTCCTGCTAGTTATCCAATTCTGTTTTCAAGAACACGTAGCCACTACTCTTTACAAGATTACTAGTGAACATGTATCCACTGCTCTGTTAGGCAGTGCATTCCAATGCTCAACTGCTGATTGATTTAAAAAATGATTTTCCCTCATATCACTTTTAGTTGTTTTGTCAATTGTTTTCAATCTCTGCCTTCTGCTTATTAATCCTTCATTTACTGGAATGAGTGCTGAGTTTCATAGTTGCAAATTAATAGCTGCAGGCGCTGCCAGAACTGCAATGATTTTTCCAGCAATTGTTGTTTTTGTTTTTGTTTCTGATTTCCAGTATCTGTAGTTCTCTCGGTGTTTTGCTTTCATATTTGCTTGGGCTTTGTATGTTCAGAAATAAAAAAGTACTCAGAAGCTTGTTACCATATTATTAAGTTGCTCTAACACCTTGAGAAAATAATGTTTGTTAAAGAAGTTTATTTCCTACCTCCATTCAATTTTACTTGTCATTAAGTTCTATTCCTACATTTTAACATTTTTGGCTGCCATGTTCTGAAATATCAAGTTAATGAAACATGTTATTGGTTTCAAGACTAGTCGTTGTGTCTCATGAAGAAAGTTTCACTTACCCCGGTTTTATGTTGAATATTTTCTGCAATTGTTAGTTACAAAGTGATTTAAGAAATTATTAGCTTGGCTGTTATTATGACGAATTTTGGAGAAGAGTGTAGGTTAAATATACTAAGAACTTGTAAATTCCTTATCCTGTCAATTTTGATCTGTTATTTTTAAATGGCTGACTGAATGCCTTCAATGAAATAATAATATAAGGAATTGCAGAGAAAATAGTTTCATGGTCACATGCTGATAATACTACGTTATAATTTCAAGATTATGAATGATTGAATCTCATAAATAATATTGAATCATTTTCACTGGTACTCGTCAAATAAAAGGTAAGTGTTTTCAGACGAAATATACATTTTTTAAATGGTCTTGTCATCTAAGATTTGTAAAGATGTAAATCATTTGTTACTTTACCAACGTTCCCAATTTCAGGAGAGCTCCTATCATCTTTGTAAAATCTTCATTAACTACAACAGACATTATAATGCTTGGTTTGGTGCCGATTCTAAATATATTTGCATTATGCATTGACTCACACTATGTATTCATCTGAGAAGATTCAAAAAGATCAGTAAGAACTGCATTTGCACTTAGAGTTATATTCTCTCCCTGCGATATCAATGACAGAACCAATAAAAGTTTCTTCTCAGAAAATAACATTTTTTGATGCAGCACATTTGAAACATAATGTATGATAAGTGCAGACTGTTTCGTTCTACTTCAAAAGTTCAAGTATGAAGGAAGAAATTGGAGCCAATCTTTATACACTTACATTTATTTTAGTTACACATCACAAGCATACATCTCCTAACAGAACAACCATAGTTTTGGTCTGCATGTGTTTATAAGGGCCCAATTATTTCCCACTATTTGCATATAATTATATACAAATATGCATAATTAACATGATTGAGAGGAATAGTTACCTTTGAACCTACAGTTCCTAAAACTCCCATCACTGGGATTTTTCTTGTTGACATGTATGTTTAAGAATTTGAGACAATAGGAAATAAGAACCTGAATGGGCCATATGACCCATTAAATCTCCTTAATCATACAATAAAGTTCATGGCTGAATTTTAGCATCAAATCACTTTTGCACCATATCCACACATCTCTTGATAACCTTAGTGCCACTAAATCTATTGATCTCGACTTTGATTATATTCATTCACTGAGCATCCACTGTCCTCTGGGTAGAGAATTTCACTATTGTCTGACTGAAAAACATTTCTCCTCATCACAGTTCTAAATGGTCTAAAATCACTCCTTTTCTATGCCTCCCAGTTCTACGCTCTGCAGCCAGCAGACATATCCCAAACAACTTATCGACCAAACAAAGGAGAGCTCAAGCAGAAAGGCACCAAGAAACAAACAGTAGAATGCCATCCAAATGATTGACACTGTTTCAAACTATTAACTGAGTCTCCCTGATTGGTCATCTTAAAAGTTATTAAAATAGGTTTCGCTTGCAGACCGTCCCCTTGAATCTTCTGGAGGCCTCCTAAGGAGACCAGCATGGCAAGGGGCAGAGACCAGCTCACTGTCCAGAGAGAGAGAGGGGGGGAGAGGGAGAGGGAGAGAGAGAGAGAGAGAGAGAGAAAAAGAGGAAGAGAGAAAGCAGCTTCGCAGTCCTACAGGCAGAGCCAAAGAGAGTGCGACTGCATAAATCTACTAGAGACTTGGGAAGTGTTGTAAATTTAAGGGGGCAAATAGTATTATTTTGTAGTAAAAGCCATTGTAACTTGTTTCCTAATACAGTTTGGAGTGTTTTGCATTGATACTGGCTTGATTTTGTACTGATTTGACCACTTCAGTATTGTGGAACACTTGGGCAAATTCATTCATAACATTCTGGTTGGAGTTGTCTAACTTGTTTTAAAGAGGAACTAAACAACACAACATATTTCCATCTTCATTAACCTGTATGATTTAACCTCAGTGAGGAGTTACATATTTTGATACATTGCACTCTTAGAAAATAAGTTCTTAAACTTCCCTTCAAATGAATTCTATGGCCTGCTCGCATATGGCTTTAACAAGCATGACTTTATTTGAAACAATATTTTAGCAACCCAGCAAAACAATGTTTGGTGTTGAGCCAGGTGATAGCTTTAAGACTGTCATAATTATAATTTAATTAGAGCCAATTATAAAGAGCCTAAAAGACAGAAACAGTTGAAGGCTTGCAAGCAAAGCTGTATCACCATCATCGTGTCTTCAGGAACTCCAAAGAAACTCATTTCCTGGATGAAATCACTGTCAAAATTCAGGAACTGTATGTCTTTTTGCAGGTAGATTTTGTTCATCTTCCTTAAACTTCGTACAAAAGCATACTTGGCGGCAGTGCTACTGGCCTCCCAGCTACAGACAGTCTGAAAGTGTAGGTCAAGGTAAGGATTATCCTACAGAAAAGAAAAATAACAATATGGTTGTTAAACATAAATATTTAATATTTCCTTTTCCCATCTTCAACCCAGAGGATAATGAACACTTACAGGGGAATTAATGTATGATAATCTAATCATAACATGTAAATAATAGTCGCAAAGCAAAGTGATTTCCCTCTCAATCCTTAAATCAGATTTGTTTCCATCTCTCCTGCTTACAGCTACAGACAGGCTCTCATTACATGGCAGCAGAGCGGTACAAGAGAAATATGCCAGGGGTTATCTGTGGTAAAGAACCTGAAACTGTTTGTTACACTCATTGATGTTTCTCATTCCAGAATAAGAGGTGAAAAGGAGAACAGAAGAGAAATTATAATATAAATAGTTACATATTGCTACTGGTGAGACCCTAGGCACCTCTACTAATGGATGATGTTTACTCCCTCCCTTCCTCCTAGCTCAGAGTGCACTGTGATCTAAGCCAGAAACTCATCAAGGTTACTTTTTTCAGGAGCCCCTCCCTCTTGGTTCATCCAGTGTCCTCAACCATTGTGGAAAAGAGGAGCAATGTCATGAGAATGGTGTCACCTACACATCCTTATCCAAGCAGTAACATGGTTGCTTAGTGGTTAACATTGCTGCCTCACAGCACTAAGGATTTGGGTTCGATTCCAGCCTTGGGTGATTGCCTGTGTGGAGTTTGCCTGATCTCACTGTGTCTGTGTAGTTTTCCTCTAGATACTCAAGTTTCCTCCCACAGCCCAAAGATGGATGGATTGCCCATAGTGTCCAGGGACGTGCAGGCTCGGTGGATTAGCCATGGGACGTGCAGGACAATAGGGAAGTGGGGGTGGGATTCTTTTCAGAATGTCAGTGTGGACTCAATGGACCAAACGGCCTTCTTCCACACTGTAGGGATTCAAAAGTAACCCCTTGTCTGAGCATAAACATGTATCATTGTTTACTTCTTTATCACTGCATTCATATAACTGGTACTCCCCATGTAACATCATTATGAGTAAACCATCAGCACAAACACTTCAGTGGTTTAAACAGAATGGGCTTTAAATAGGGTCTTAACAAGAATCACCCCAATCTCAAAAGATGGTAGGTGCCTCTTTAGTGTATAAGCGATCAATAAATGGCAGCTCTTCCTATTTCAGATATTAAAGTGGTATTCCATATTAAACATTAATTCAGTATTGTAATAAGTCACATTCTTCTCTGTTCAAATAATAATTTCGGGAACAGAAAGAGTGGCAGTTGCTCACTGCTGTAGAAACGGCCAGTGGACGAAGTATTCATAAACAAGTTGTGACTGATGTTGGAATCATGAAATAAAGGCAGAAAATGCTTGAAATAGTAAGTACAGACAATGTCTGTGGAGACAACAATAAAGTTAGCATTTTAGTTCAATGGCCTTTCATTAACTCTGACTGTATTTGTGGTTCATGATGTTTGAAATATATCTACCGTTCAAAAACAAAACAATAGTGTAAAGATCACATCTTTTTATTTCCTTTATTTGTGGACTAAAAAACGAAGGTACTGCTTTAAACCAAGGAGGATTTGCAAAGAGGTGGCTGTAGTTTTAAAAATCATGTTTACCGGAGCACGTTGCCAGTTGTATAAAATGTTGCACTTTTCCTGAAACAGTGCAGAAGTAAGCAGACAGGAGCTGATGGTTTCAGAACTGAGCACTAACTCATTGTCAACAATGTTTTGATTGGCTCCTGGCCAGGTGACCATGATTGTGTGGGGCCAGTACAACTGAGAACTACTGAGTCTGCAAAGACAATACCTTATAAAATCTTCCTCTGTAAACAAAATAAAATACTGCACATGTTGTAAATCTGAATGAAAATGCTAGAGAAACTCAACAGCTCAGGAAGCATCTGTGGATAGAGGATCAAAGTAACGTTTGAGTCCAAAGGCTGAAGAAGAGTCGTTGGACTCAACATTAACTCTGTTTCTCTCTCTGCTGGTGTTGATTGATTGACTTTATTGTCACATATACCAAAATACAGTGAAAAGCTTTGCTTTTGAGTGGTACAGGCAGATCACAGCAAGCAAAGGTTGTACAGATCAAAAAGACTAAGAGGCATACAGGTTACATTGCAGGTTACATTACTTGAGGCTAGAGTCCATTCTGATAATGGCCGGAAAGAAGCTGTTCCTGAACCTGTTTGTGCATGTGTTCAGGCTTCTGTACCTTCTGCCTGACGGAAGAGGTTGTAGGAGATCATTATCAGGGTGCAATGGGTCTTTGATGATGTTGGCCACCTTTCTGCAGCAGCAAGGCATGTAAATAGAGTCCATGGATGGAATGGTCTGGGCTGTGCACACCACATTCTGTAGTTTCTTATGGTCCTGGGCAAAGCATTTGCCATACGAGGCCATTATACGCCTGGACTGTACGCTTTCAATGGTGGGCAGAAATGAAATTTTATAGCATTTTCTGTTTTTATTTCAGATCTTTCTCTGTGTGTTCTCTCTCCTGGGTAAAGGTACCACAAAGTCTATAGTAACAGCTAGCTGTCCTCCACTCTCTCACAAACCCCCTGTTGAAATTGGAATAGAATGCGTTCAAAGACAGAGAAAGGTCAAATTCTCACCCAGCAAATGAAAGACAGATTCAATGTGTGGACAATTTCATTTCATCAGCAATGAACTGGAAAGGAATTGAAAGGAAGGGAAAGAAAGCAACTCATTGAATTTTGTGGTCCAGTCTGGTACTGTCGAACTGTGTTTCCTTTTTTCCCTTTTCCACCCTTAGTATTCATGTCATATTTTCTTGTGTCTATCCATATGTGAAAGGAGGGAGTTTTAAACATGTATAGTTTAAGTCGTAGATTTATAAGTTAGCAATTCCTAATTGCCAATGGTTAAAGATAATTTATGCATGATAAAGTTTTTTTCTTGCTAATTACAGAAACTGATGAACATTTACTTTTAACCTGAGTTTGTCAGTTAGGTAAAGTGGATGTTTTGGCTAAATAGTTTTATATTTGTAATGACTCCAGTCGTAGTAGCACTTGATTTCTGGCAGGTTACCCTGTGTGAGGTGGAACAACAGATTGTGTTATTAGGATTATTTAAGAAGAAACTGTGCAGCTTTATACAACTTCACAAAACAGTCGTAAATCAAGAAGATCATTTTCAGTAATAGAAAGCAAATTCACTGCCAGGTAAAGTACGGATGGTGACAGTGAATTCTGGAAATACAGTTCATGTAAATCATTAGAAACAGAGAGAGGTTTGGATGATGCAGGAAGAAACTGCCATTTTTGGTGTACAGCAAGCTCCCGTTTTATACCTTTGGCTGGGATTTCATTCATGGAAGCAGGTTGCATGTACAGGAATATGCACCACAAATCAGCATCCAGGATTATAAAGTGACTGGTTATTTCCTGTTGATGTTGTTTCAGAAAGTGTACAGTGCTTGAAATTGTCCAATTTCAAGGTAATTATTCAAGCTGACTTTCCATTGCAGCATGGGGGAAAGTGGTCTGTTGCCTCTTACCATGTCTTCTCAACTCAGGAAAACACAAAGGATTTCATAATGCTACCCAAAGAGGTATTTGGAATTTCTCCTGGAATTTCAAGCCAATGTTTTGTCACTAACCAATAAAAGTGATTTTCTGCTCATTCATCTCATTATCGTTTTTATGGGTTCACGTCATGCAAAAAACAAATTCCATGTTTTCCCTACACTATAACAGTTAGAATACTTGAAGATGCTATGAAACTCTTTGAAATGTCCCAAATAGTGCCAAGGAAAGGCAAGCTCTTTGTCCTCAAAAGGAATATAAAAATGCACGCACTGGAAACAGTTGAGAGAAAAAGATAAGATATTGACCCAGTTGAGCTTACTCAGCACAAAAAACACAACTCTGACCCACTCAATAATAGGCAGCTGAAATGACTGTGAGCTGGAAATCATTCTCTTATCAGTCGAAACCCAGTTCTGGTCTGACCAAAATCCCCTAGTCTGATCTGGATGATTGGAATTCCACAACATTCAAATAATTTGCTTCTTTTTGCAAAGGGTAAAAAGCCAAAATTGCAAAGCCTAATGACTTTTGAAATGCTGGTCTCAGCTTTTGATGTGTCATCAGTTGTAATGATGCACTAGATTGATACATCTCCAATAGATAAGTAAAGTGTCTCAGACTCATGATAGAGTATCATTAAAATCACTGTAGTATCTTCCTATCACATCTCGTGTGGTGATGATTTGGTTGCGTGGAGGTCTTCTTAGAAACAGGTTAGTCAGCAATTCAAAAAGTTGTCAGTTAACGGGCAGGATAAACAATAAAAAATGAGACTGCAAATACAGTGAGTCAGAAATTGAAGGAAAAATCCAGAAAATGCTCCAAGCACTCTACATGCCAGTCAACATTTGAACTAGGCACATCATGCCAAGCAAACATGAAGAGGTTGTTAATTTAAAATGACCTCTCCTAAAAAGGATACTGTTGATCTTCAAGATGGCTACCACAGGTCAGTTGGAATTTTAAAATGGCCAAGGTTCTAGAAACTTCTAAAAGTAGAATACACTGGGTTTGTCTATGCATCAATCCTGTGGAATGTCACGCATGTCACTGTGTTACACAGATGCTTCATATTTAACATGTCTTGGAGGAATTAAGCCATGAAAGATTGAGGAAAAATGTATTTATTTCATGTTTTGTTTCTTTAAAATAGGTCATTCAAAATTCACCGTGGAAATGGGAAGGCTATCAAAAATCACATTCGATACAGTGTGGAACTGGAGGAACTCAACAGGTCAGGCAGCATCAGAGGAGCAGGAAAGTTGACGTTTTGTGTTGACCGACCCGAAACATCGACTTTCCTGCTCCTCTGATGCTGCCTGACCTGCTGGGTGTTCCTTCAGGCCCACACTGTATCAACTCTGACTTCCAGCATCTGCAGTTCTTGCTACCTCCTAGTTACCAAAAATCACATGACTGATGATAACTGCTTTGTCTTCTCTGTATCTGGGCTCAGCTCTT